ACGAACAATTGCTGGCTTTGCATTTCTCTTTCCTCCAAAATCACCGAGGCATCGACTTACTCACCGCTAACAAAAGAAGACTGTATATTTTTAAATGAAGAGTGTTGTTTTTACCTGAATCAATCCAGCCGGGTATATGACAACATAAAAAAACTCAAAGATAGAGCCCCAAAACTCACCAACCGAGCAAATAATTACATTGAACCCCCTTGGACACTGTCTAATTGGATGTAGTCCCAATTCCTAGTACTTTAATATCTATTTTTCTGGCCAGGTGCGGTGGCTCATGCCTGTAATCCCAGCACTTTGGTGCCGAGACCAGCTCAGTCAGGGAGACCCTAACCCAGCGGCACTAGAGGAATTAAAGACACACACACAGAAATATAAAGGTGTGAAGTGGGAAATCAGGGATCTCACAGCCTTCAGAGCTGAGAGCCCTGAACAGATATTTGCTCACATATTTATTAACAGCAAACCAGTCATTAGCATTGTTTCTATAGATATTAAATTAACTAAAAGTATCCCTTATGGGAAATGAAGGGATGGCCCGAATTAAAGAAATAGGTTGGGCTAGTTAACTGCAGCAGGAACATGCCCTTAAGGCACAGATCACTCATGCCATTGTTTGTGGCTTAAGAATGGCTTTAAGCTGTTTTCTGCCCTGGGCAGGCCAGGTGTTCCTTGCCCTCATTCCCATAAACCCACAACCTTCCAGCACGGGCATTGGGACCATTACGAACATATTACAGTGCTGCAGATGCCCCGTCTCTACTAAAAATACAAAAAAATTAGCCGGGCGTGGTGGCGGGTGCCTGTAGTCCCAGCTACTTGGGAGGCTGAGGCAGGAGAATTACCTGGACCAGGGAAGCGGAGATTGCAGTAAGCCGAGATTGTGCCACTGCACTCCAGCCTGGGCAACAGAGTGAGACTCTCTCAAAAAAAAAAAAAAAACCAACTATTTTTCTCCTTATTTTATTTGGACCTTGTGTCTTCCATTTAGTTTCTCAATTCATACAAAACCACATCCAGACCATCATCAATAATTCTATACAACAAATGCTCTAACAACCCCACAATATCACCCCTTACCCCAAAATATTTCTTCAGCTTAATCTCTCCCACTACAGGTTCCCACGCTGCCCTAATCCTGCTCAAAGCAGCCCTGAGAAACATCACCTATTATCTCTCCATACCACCCCCAAAAATTTTCACCACCCCAACACTGCAGCACTATTTTGTTTTGTTTTTCTTATTAATATAAGTAGACAGGAATGTCAGGCCTCTGAGCCCAAGCTCAGCCGTTTCCTGTGACCTGCACGTTTACATCCAGATGGCCTGAAGCAACTGAAGATCCAGAAAAGAAATGGAAATAGCTTTAACTGATGACATTCCACCATTGTGATTTGTTCCTGCCCCACCCTAACTGATACAATATAGTGTCCCCTGCCCTTAAGAATGTACTTTGTAATATTCTCCCCCACCCTTAAGAATGTACTTTGTACACCTAGCCCAAACCTATAAGAACTAATGATAATCCCACCACCCTTTGCTGACTCCTTTTTCGGACTCAGCCCACCTGCACCTGGGTGAAATAAACAGCCTTGTAGCTCACACAAAACCTGTTGATGGTCTCTTCACATGGACGTGGGTGACACTGACCTCAAGTGATCTGCCCGCCTCAGCCTCCCAAAGTGCTAGGATTACAGGCGTGAGCCACCAGGCCCGGCTGAGATGATTAATTTAAATGAGACCTCTAGTGTGGGCACAAATTAACTTGGCTGGGGTCCAAAAAGGAGGTTGACCAGGTGTCATGGCTCATGCCTTTAATCCCAGCACTTTGGGAGGCCAACGTGGGCAGTCAGGAATTTGAGACCAGCCTGGCCTCGAGTGTACATGGTGATGCAGCAGGAATGGACGCAGAAAAAACCTCTCAGACACCGGTTATAGGAAGAGGCTTTAATCAGCTGGGAGCATCGACAGACTTGCATTTTAAGAGCCAAGCTCCCTGAAGAAGTCTCTGACCCTTTTAATGGCTTACAGTTCTAAGGGGTCCACATGAAAGGGTCATGATAGATTGTGCAAGTGTGGGCTATGTGACTGGGGGCTACATGCATCAGCAGTGGGGGCTAGCAGAACAGAACAGAGAGTTTCACAATGCTTCCTCATATGGTCAGGTCAGGAGTTGATCTTTAACTACCAGGCCCAGGTAGCAGTGCCAAACAATCTGGCCATTGATCTTACTTCTGCTTCTTTCTAACTTTTTGCTTCCTTCTGAAACAGGAGACAATGAGAGAGGTGGTCTCCTTCCTCAGTGAAACCTCATCTCTACTCTAAAATAGAAACATTAGCAGAGAGTGGTTCTGGGCATCTGTAATTCCAGCTACTCAGGAGGCTGAGGCAGGAGAATTGCTTGAACCCAGGAGGCAGACGTTGCAGTGAGCAGTGATCCTGCCATTGCACTCCAGCCTGGGCAACAGAGTGAAACTCCATCTCAAAAAAAAAAAAAGAGGTTGTGTATGGTGGCTCATATCTGTAATCCCAGCACTTTGGGAGGCTGAGGAGGGTGGATCTTGAACTGAGCTCACGAGTTCAAGACCAGCCTAAACAACATAGAGAAACTCCATCTCTACTAAAACTACAAAATTAGCTGGGCGTGGTGGCGCATGCCTGTAGTCCCGGCTACTCAGGAGACTGAGGCAGGAGAATCACTTGAACTTGGAAGGCAGAGGTTGCAGTGAGCTGAGATTGTGCCATTGTACTCCAGTCTGGACAACAAGAGCAAAATTCTGTCTCAAAAAAAGACAAAAAAGAATTTTGTCTTGAGACAAAATTCTGTCTCAAGAAAAAAAAAGTTGATATTTGGAAGCAGAGATCCCAGAGGTGCAGGTGCATAGAAGAAAGGCCACAGAGGACACGGCTGGAAGAGACTCCCTGCCAGCCAGGAGGAGCGGCCTCCAAGCAAACAACCCCACCCATCCCTCGAACTTGGACCTGCAGCCTCCAGATCTGCGAGAAAATAAATGCCTGCTGTGTGGACACCTGGCCTGGGGCATCTTCTATGGAGGCCACGGCATGAAGGAGTCATTCTTATAGAGTCTCATTCTCTAATAACTTACATCTGCCTTGAAAATGTCAAGTCAAATTTAAAGTGTGGAGAAGAGTCTCTAAATCTCACATTTCATTTGCAAAGAAAGAATTGTAATTTGGGACATACACGCAGTCCGGGTGGTGTTCAACCTTGTCGGGAGAACAGAGATGGCAACAGGTTTTATAAAAAGGAGAAATGGGCTAAGCGCTGTGACTCACACCAGCAATCCCAGCAATTTGGGAGGCCAAGGCGGGCAGATCACCTGAAACCAGGAGTTTAAGACCAGCCTAAGCTGGGCCTGGTGGCTCATGCCTGTAATCCCAGCACTTTGGGTGTCCGAGACGGCTGGATCACGAGGTCAGGAGTTCAAGACCAGCCTGGCCAAGATGCTGAAACCACATCTCTACTAAAAACACAAAAATTAGCCAGGCATGGTGGCACGTGCATGTAATCCCAGCTACTTGGGAGGCTGAGGCAGGAGAATAGCTTGAACCTGGGTGACAGAGGTTATAGCGAGCTGAGATCGCACCACTGCACCCCAGCCTGGACAACAGAGCAAGACTCTGTTTCAAAAAATAAAATAAAAATAAGACCAGCCTGCGCAACAAGATGAAACCTGTTTTTATGAAAAATACAAAAATTAGCCTGGCATGGTGGTGCACGCCTGTAATCCCAGCTACTCGGGAGGTTGAAACAGGAGAATCACTTGAACAAGGGAGGAGGAGGTTGCAGTGAGCCAAGACTGGTCCATTGCCCTTCAGCCTGGGCGACAAGGCGAGACTCCATTTCAAAAAAGAAAAGGAGAAATGTTCTCTTGCCCTTTGGGAAAGCCCGTGGGCACTAGGAAGCGTTGGGAGCTGGGAGGTTCCATTGCTGAGTCACTGCTTTTGGAGCAAGGAGTCCACGACTTACAGCCATTTATCGCAGAAGCTATGGATAAAGCTGGTTTCAGGGTACAACGCACAGTTTCAGCAGTCAGGCTTGCAGAAAAGTCCATTTTGGGAGCAATGGTGTGTGGCCTGACTGCTTTTCCTCCCTGGCTCCTGGCCTCTGTTTTAGCTGGGTAGGACATGAATGACCCAGTTCATAGGATGAAATTTACAAAGGATGTTTCTCAAAACTTCTGGTATTCAATTTACATATATTCACGCCCATTTAGGTTGAGTTTATTTATGAATTTATTTTCAGGCAGGGTCTCAATCTGTCATGCAGACCAGAGTTCAGTGGTGCGATCTCAGTTCACTGCAGCCTCCACCTCCCCAGCTCAAGCAATCTTCCCACTTCAGCCTCCCAAGTCGCTTAAACTACAGGTGCATGCAACCACACCTGGCTTTTTATTTATTTATTTATTTATTTATTTATTTATTTTTTGTAGAGATGGGGCTTTGTCCTGTGGCCCAGGCTGGTCTTGAACTCCTGGGCTCAAGGGATTCTCCCACCTCTGCCTCCCAAATTGCTGGGGGGATTACAGGCGTGAGT